GTACTCGATGTTACTACCTAGAAAACTGAGGGTGAGACCACTTGGATTCTCAGATCCTAAGGAATATTTTTATTCTCTCCCCCATGAACCCAAATACCCACTAGCAAATAGAATGGCCGCTTCAACCACCCAGACCATCTGGGCTCCCAAAGCAAAAGGCCTTTGGGGGAACCCAGAGTTATCCAGAGAATTGCTTGCATTTTCTACTATTTTGCTGTCCGGGCTTGGCATAGAGCTTGCAATCCTATCTCCACCCGTAGCCAACGTTCGCCCACTTGCAGAGAAGTCAGGTGGCCCTGCCAGAGCACGTCTTACCCCACGTGTGGGGCCCTGTTCAGACCGTCACGCAGAGCCCAACTGACCTATCCTGGTCTCTGGGAGCTTCCCGGTGACATAGCTGGTACACAACCCTCCCTCTCACTTCCTCACATATAAGCTCGACTCTTGTTTTCTCTTTCTTTCCAGTAGCAGGGATATGACAGGCTAAAGGTATAATCCAGACACCGCTGACAACCCCTGGGAAGGGCTGTTGCTATTTTAAACATTTTATAGGAACTGTTTACCTACAATACCTGGCAACACTCTTCCAGCAGAATCCTGACACATGGGAAGAGCAAGCAAATTATCACCCAGGAACATTTTCTGTTTTTGCCTCTATGGTTTTAAAGAATAACACCATTTAGCTGCTCCGCATGACTCAGCAGAGTGTGGTTTTTATGGAACACTCCAGCCACACAAGCATCTGACGCTCACACGTCCTGCTGGTGTCTAAACACTGCCTTGCTCGGTGACAGGGAGGCAGGCACTGGGGCATGAGAACTGCATACATTTCTGAGCATATAATGACTTAATAACTTTAAAAACAGGCATAACTTTAAAAACAGGCATAGAATGTCTATCACTGATTACACCAAATAAACACTACCAATTTTGAGCCAAAATGGTGCTTAAAAGTGTTTAGAAGAACGATTTGACTTTTAGCATTTATCTTCCTAGACAGACAAGTAAAAGTCCTTTTTTTATTTTAGCAGAATAATAATGTTGACTGTTACTGAACCATCAGAAAGGACATGAAATAACTAAGTCAGAGACCACTAAGTGGAGAAGAGATGGAAGGGCACAAGATAAAATGTCTTGTAAATAAATAAATTAATAATAATAATAATAATAAAGAATAGCAAAACAGAAGCCTGAAGCCTGGGATAGGAGCCTTAACCGGCTGTGGTCACCATGGAAAAGCATCACCTGCGAGAGGTGTGCTATGGTTACAACCAACAACACTTCCCAAAACATCATAATCCTCAACCTCAAACACAGCTCTCATCCCTGGTATCTACAAGTCACAGAAACAGGCTTTGGACAGCCTTGGCTCACCCATCTTGGGACCTATTCCTCTCTCAGGATTTCAGTCATGGTACTCGTTATATATGATGTCCCTGGATTCACGACATCACATTTTCTCGGCTCACATTTTCAGCTGGGTGGCCACGGACAAGTTGCTTCCAAAAGAAATAATCATGGTACTTACCTCACCGTGCTGTTGTGAAAAGGATGTAGTGAATATGAATGGTGGGTGAAACCTGCTTGGCACTGTTTTCATTATTTTTTGAAATATTTTATTTATTTATTCATGAGAGACAGAGAGAGAGAGAGAGAGAGAGAGGCAGAGACACAGGCAGAGGGAGAAGCAGGCTCCATGCAGGGAGCCCGATGTGGGACTCGATCCCAGGACCCCGGGATCATGACCTGAGCTGAAGGCAGATGCTCAACCTCTGAGCCACTGTTTTCATTATTATTGATATCTTGGGAGGCAAGATCATTCAGTATGACTAATATTACATATACAAATAAATAAGAGGCACTGACATCTCATAAACCCCTGTAAGCTCTCTAGAACAGGGTGGATTAAGTAAAGTACAATTAGTTTAATGAGAATGAACATAACGATACTCATTCAGTGGCATGATTTCGAGGTTGTTCACTATTTCTCAAACATGAAGTATTTTACGGCATCATTCAAAGACAAGAGCAGTAAGTTTTCCACCGCTTGGAGCTCTGCAGATGCATTATTTCTTCTACTGAAAGTCTGTTTTCAATTAGCTTTTGAAGCTTTTGCAAATGAAAGTGCATTCTCTTCCATTTCAATAATGTCACACTTTACATCTTCTGTGACTGCAAGTAACTTTAAGTTCACGTTTGGCTTTGTTATTTGCTCTGCATACATTGCTTATCTGATTTTTTTTTCATTTTGGGGAAACAGAGCGAATTTAGCTATAACTATTCGCAGCATTTCCTCTACTAGGGGAATGGAGGTAGTACACACGCTGTTTGAAATTATTTTTCGGGGATGCCTGGGTGGCTCAGCGGTTGAGCGCCTGCCTTCGGCCCAGGGTGTGATCCTGGAGGCCCAGGATCGAGTCCCACATCGGGCTCCCTGCATGGAGCCTGCTTCTCCCTCTGTCTGTGTCTCTGCTTCTCTCTGTGTGTCTCTCATGAATAAATAAATAAAATCTTAAAAAAAAAAAGAAAAGAAATTATTTTTCATTTTTCAGGGAATTCCAAACATGGACATTCCCATCATGCTACTGCTACTCAAGGAAAAGCATAACGCTCGGCTTTCCTTAATGCCTTGCTTGAGTTTCTAAATCGTATCATACAAGAATACCTAGGGCTCCTTATACCTGTTTGTTATACCTTAACAAACAAAAGTTTGTTTGTCTTTCAAAACTGAAATCCTCCTTAACATTTGTACCAGTTTCATCCTTTGTGAAAAAGAAAATAAGAGACAGTAATAAACAAGGAAACTCCTTCAAACTTAACACATAACCTGACCGGCTTCCCAACTCCACCTTCTTAATCGATGGTGGGTTTGTTTTTCACTCATACCAGACAGCACAGCACTAAAGCTACGTAGTAGTCACCCTTGCTGTAAATGTTCCCTAGATACTTGCAGCCCATAACCATGTTTTGTTTAGCTGAGACAATTTTTTAATGTGCATCATCATCTAAAAATCTGGATATTTTATATGTCAATTTGGATTTCCAGCTTCCATTAAAAATCAAAAGTTCCACAGGGTACGTGGGTGGCTCAGTCCATTAAGCACCCATCTCTTGGTTTGGGCTCAGGTCATGATCTCAGGGTCATGAGATTGAGCCCCACGTCAGGCTCCACACTCAGCCTGGAGTCTGCTTGAAGTTTCTCTCCCTCTGCCCCCCCTCTCCCTCCGTCGCTCTCTCTAAAATAAATAAATAAGCCTCCTGCACAGCCGTACACACACGCCTGAGAGCAGCACAGAAATAACACAACAGGCCGCAGGGAAGCTGTAATATCCACGGTGCTTTGTAGCTCGCGTTGCCTCCTGCCCTGGCTTTTCAACAGTAAAGAAAAGTAAGGCAGAGAGGCAGGAGCTCCTCCAGAGAGAGCTGCCAGGTTCAGCTCCAAACTACCCTTTCACATTTACTTGGGGTCCTGGAGAGAGCTGGGGTGGGTGATGTATTATGGGCCCGCTTGCTGTTAGAAGCTTTGGGCATGGTAGGTTCAGAAGAGGTCTAGTCGCACCTGCAGAAAGAAACCTTGACTGGTCAGCCCAGTTTAGTAGGGTAAGGGTTGGCCCTTCTCATCAAAGGAAAGCAAGGTGACACATTCCTCCTGTCCATATGCTCAAGAAGGGCAGCCAGGATGGCAGGACTTGGCTGGAGCAGCTTTATGATGTGCTTTCGGTGTTAGCAGAGGAGGGAACTGTGCCCGGGGACAGTGCAGGACACAGCCACTTGTGGGATGCTGTGCCCCTGTGACAGTTGTCTAGCAGAGATGTCCTCATCAGAACTCCACACCCAAGAGAGGACGCTCATCAACAGCCACTGCAGACTCTCCAATCCACCCCTCCCCAGGCCTCAGAAAATGATACCCATCCTGTTGTTTTATTTTAACTTATTATAGTTCTCTCCTTTTCAACAATCCATCATTCCCATACCAGTAACTTGGGGATAAGAGTTCATCAAGAGTGTTTTCAGGGGTGCCTGGGTGGCGGAGTCCATTAAGCATCTGCCTTTGGCTCAGGTCATGATCCCAGAGTCCTGGGATCCAGTCCTGTATCGAGCTCCCCAGAGGGAGCCTGCTTCTCCCTCTGCCTCTGTCTCTGCCTCTCTCTGTGTGTCTCTCATGAACAAATAAATGAATCTTTTAAAAAACAAATTAAAAAAGAAAAGAAAAAAGTGCTTTCAGTACCTGTCATTATCCATCTGTCAAAGCCCTTACAATATATGCCACAAAAAGTGAACCTGATGCAAACTATGGACTTTAGCTAAATGGATCCATACGGTCTGTACCAAATGCACCCCTCTCCAATGCAATGTTAATCATGTTAAAGATGTTAATCATGAGGGAAACCGTGGACTGTGGAGGTTGTGGCTGTACTTTCTGCTCTATTCTCTGCAAGCCTAAAAACCGTTCTGAAAAATTAATAGTTTCAAAAATTGCTACTACCAGAAAAAAAAGATCAATTTTATGCCTCATCACAAAAAATTATGATACGCTGCTGTCTAGTCAACATGCGCCAGTTAAGAAGCTATCAACAGAAAAAGGAAATACAACGAATTCAGGCCCTACTAATTCACGATTTGTGATCATGCAAAATACCCTTCCACTTCAGTCTGAATCTTTCTGGCTGTGGCTTGCTAAGCAAGTGGAAAAATTACAGAAGCACCGACTAAGCCATGGAGGACGATCGACTATTGTCACCACCTTCAGCAGCACTGGCCAGCTGTTTCTGAAAGCCTTGCATCAGCGAGGTCATAACTGGAAGTTAGTCTTATCTTTATAGCCAGCGGGTCGACCAAGACCGGCTAGAATTAGCCACCACAGGCTGCTGAAATACCTGTCCTCAATCCGAACATCTCACCTTTCCTTCTTTATTCCATGCTGGCCTCCTCGGGCACTGCTATTTCTGACTGGCCGTTATCATCCGCAGGCAGCAAGATCTCGACAGGTGCTTGCTTACCTCTGAGTCTTTGGCCTGCTGATTTCGAACGACTATCAAATTGTACAGGATCCTGTCGTCGTCTGCCTCTGTGTGGGACACATCGTGGGGCATGCTCCACAAATTCTTTTCATCATCTCTCGCCAGAGTTGCTCCAAAAGAAGAATATGGATTGCCATCACTATGGTGTTAAGGAAAGGGGTATAAGCGTTTTTGTAATATTTGCAATATACATAATACATCATATGCACGTAATATATAATATTAATAAAATGTGTTATATACTGTATGCCATATATATATATATTTCTAATAACAAGGCCTGAACTGGGCACGCCTGGGGGGCTCAGCGGCTGAGCATCTGCCTTCAGCTCAGGGAGTGATCCCCGGATCCAGGATCGAGTCCCACATCGGGCTCCTTGCAGGGAGCCTGCTTCTCTCTCTGCCTGTGTCTCTGCCTCTATATGTGTGTGTCTCTCATGAATAAATAAGCAAAATCTTAAAAAAAAGGCTTTAATTGTCTCTAATAATTAAGCATAAGAACAATTTTAATTATGCATAATAATTAAGCATAGAACAATTTTAAACATCACTTTAGAAAGGGCACAGAAGAGATGTAACCCGATGCCTGGGCAGGGATGATTTTACTACGTTCAATGTGAAATTTAGCACTGCATGTCCCAGCAGTGGGGAAAGAAAAAAAAAAAAGGAAATCCAACGGAGGGATAAAATTCCTGCTTGATTAAAAGAAATTGCCAATCGACATGAAGAGGTGAACTTTTCTCGGGCCCCGGAGTTCAAGGGAGCACAGTAAATTTAGAGCACACTCGCATGCAATGTCTATCAAGTCCCTTGCAAGAAGATGAAGAAATGAATATGCATAACCAAATACATTCAGGAAACAATGTGGGATGTTGAGTAAGAACTTCAGTACGTCTGTTTTATGAGTTGCCCTTTTCGGGCTGGTATCCGAGCGGGCGCTTACGGAGGAGGGGAGCAGCAAAGCCTCATACTCAGGACGTGCTCGTACATGGCCCTGCTTGGCTTCTGTGGGACGGTGCAGGCAGGGTCATGCCGGGGCTCTTCCCTTCATCTAATTATAAGTATGAAGCGCTGACTCCATGTTAATCACAGGGCTCAGGAAAATTGTGAACAAAATACACATGATCCCTGTCCTCGGATCTCACCACAGCCTGGGAGGGAAACATACTAATGAATGATCAGGTGACTATATGATTAAAAAAAATGGGGCAAGTGTTCTAAGGGGGGAGTTCAGGGAACCTTGAGAGCCAGTGGGGGAAGGTGTCAGGCAGGCAGCATAAAGGAGGGGTGCTTGGGCGTTCTGCTAAGGACAAGAACAGAGTTCCAGGCAAGTGAAACAACACATTCAAAGGCTCTGGGTTGGGCGAGGAGGATGCAGGGTGTACCAATTAGAAAAAAATGGGAATATTGGCCAGAAAGCAGACGAGATGCTGGAGAGGGAGCTAGGGCCACGTTTTCTAACACTGATTGGAAATGCGGTCTTTATTCCTAAATAAAGATGTGAAAGGGCTCGAAGCTGCATGATGGTGAAACACAAACAGAATTACATCTTTCAAGCTTTTTCTGGCTAAAGTGTGGAGAATGCTTTAGAGGGCCAAGAGTGGATTTGGGGGATTTGTGAACATGCCACTGAGATGACTCAGGTGAGACGTGACAGGTATGAGGAACTGAACGATGGTATGAAGGAAAGTGCACTATTTTGGGGAATGTGGAGAAAGCAGAGGCTTTCTGGCCCATTCACCCGGACGGTGACAGCTGTCATTCCCTGGAGCAGAGCTGGAAGGCCCTAAGACCACGGGGTGGCCAGCACACCTGCAGATGTGACACGAGGCAATGACAAATGAGGACCACCGGAAGACACCCAGATAAGCAGGTCCTGGGAAGGAGGGACAGATGTAAACTGGCAGAGGGGCTGAAGGTTAATACTGGGATGTAGACAAGCTGGTGCTAAGGAAATCTTGCACTAGGAAGCAAAGTGCCGGTCACTAAAATGGGCTTCAGCAGCAGGGTGAGGGCGTCAGGCTACCAGAGACTCACACTTAGGAGAGCTTGTAAACAAACTGGAGCAAAAGTGGGGAGGGGATCTTGGAACCAAGGCTGGCAGGAGGCCAGCTCTCTGCTTCAGACAGAGGGCCAAGACACCGGACCCCAAAACCCTTCCAGCTGCAGGATGAGGTGCAGGGTGCGGGGCTCGATAAAGAGATCAGAGCTGGGACGCCTGGGTGGCTCAGTGGTTGAGGTCTGCCTTTGGCTCAGGGCATGATCTCAGGGTCCTGGGATCGAGCCTGCTTCTCCCTCTGCCTGTGTCTCGGCCACACTCTCTCTCTCTGTGTCTCTCATGAAAAAATAAATAAAATCTTTTTTAAAATAAAAATAAAAGAGATCAGAGCTATTGGGAACAGAGCAACCTATGGGGAACTGGACGCTGCCCGGCCACACTGTTCTCAGCCACCCTGCTCTCGTGTGGGCTGCCCGACATGCCAAAGGCCGCAACGCAGAGAGCAGCTCTTCTTCAGAATGATGAGCCAACAAAGAAGCTAATCAAGAAATGGGCAGAAGATGTGAAGAGACATTTCTCCAAAGAAGATATACAGATGCCCAAGACGCATGAAAAATTGCCCAACATCACTCGGCATCAGGGAAATACAAATCAAAACCACAATGAGATCCCACCTCACTCCAGTCAGAACGGCCAAAATCAACAAGTTAAGAAACGACAGGTGTTGGGGACGGTGTGGAGAAAGGGGAACCCTCTTGCACTGTTGGTGGGAATGCAGGCTGGTGCAGCCACTCTGGAAAATGGTGTGGAGGTTCCTCAAAAAGTTAAAAATAGAGCTACCCTATGACCCAGCAATTGCACTAATGGGTATTTATCCCAAAGATACAAATGTAGTGATCCCAATGTTTACAGCAGCAATGTCCACAGTACCCAAACCATGGAAAGAGCCCAAATAAACGGATAAAGAAGATATGGTATCTATATGCAATGGAATATTACTCAGCCACCAAAAAGGTTGAAATCTTGCTGTTTGCAGTGACGTGGATGGAACTAGAGGGTATTATGCTGAGCGAAATAAGTCAGAGAAATACAAATACCATGTGATTTCACTTATATGTGGAATTTAAGAAACAAAACGGAGAATCATAGGGGAAGACAAGGAAAAATAAAATAAGATGAAATCAGAGGGAGACAAACCATAAGAGACTCTTAATCACAGGAAACAAACAGGGTTGCTGGAGGGGAGGTGGGGGTGGGGGGAATGGGGTAACTGGGGGATGGGCATTAAGGAGGGCACGTGATGTGATGTGCACTGGGTGTTATATGAGACTGATGAAGCACTAAATTCTATCCCTGAAACTAATACTACACTACACAATAACTAAATTGGTTTTATTTTTTTTAAGATTTTATTTATTCACGAGAGACACACAGAGAGGCAGAGACTCAAGCAAAGGGAGAAGCAGGCTCCATGCAGGGGGCCCAATGTGGGATTCGATCCCGGGACCCCAGGGTCACACACCAGGCCAAAGGCAGACGCTCAACCACTGAGCCACCCAGGCATCCCACTAAATTGGCTTTAAATAAAAATAAAAATAATAATGATGATGAGCTGACAAAAGAAGAGGCAAATAAGGCCTCTGTGCCCTGGCCACACAGGCCTTTAACGATATCAGATTGATTCATTCATTCCTTCAGCTGTTGATTCAACAAACATGGAATGGACGCCTGCTATATACTGAGCACCAGGATGGGTGCTTCAGGGACTTGAAAACAAATAGGACATTGTCCCTGCCTTTGCCCCTAGTGTGACTATAATGCAATGAGATAAGTGAAAATAAAATTTTTTTTTAGGGCAGCCCGGGTGGCCCAGCAGTTTAGCGCCGCTTTTAGCCCAGGGCCTGATCCTGGAGACCCGGGATCGAGTCCCACGTCGGGCTCCCTGCATGGAGCCTGCTTCTCCCTCTGCCTCTGTCTCTAGCTCTCATTCTCTCTGTTTCTCTCATGAATAAACAAATAAAATCTTTAAAAAAAAAAAAAGGAGACATACACATCTTAAAAAAAAATTTTTTTAGGTATAAACAGAATGTCTTAGGACCAGAGGAGGGGGGATCCCTGGCTGGCTCAGCAGTTTAGTGCCTGCCTTCGGCCCACAGCATGATTCTCGAGCCCCAGGATCGAGTCCCACATCAGGTTCCCTGCATGGAGCCTGCCTATGTCTCTGCTTCTCTCTCTCTGTCTCTGTCTCTCATGAATAAATAAAATCTTAAAAAAAAAAAAGGGACCAGGGGAGGACTGACAACCTGCATGATGAGAGAAGGGAGTTCAAGAAAGGTTTCATGGAGGCTACATGGAACCCAGACCTGCGGGATGCTCAGCCTGTGGCCAGGAGGAGAAGCCGAGGGAAAGGCATGCCCAGCAGAGGGAACAGCAGGAGCGGGGCACGGAGGCCTGAGGTGCCCACAGGGCTGGGGGATTCCGAGCCTCCCTGTATGGGTCACCACACACTGTGCCCACAGAGGGAGACAGAAGGATGGGAAGAAGAAAAGGTCATTTGGGGTCAGATGGGTGACAGCGCCGGAGTTGGGGCTTTATTCTGTGAACGCTGAAAAGTTAAGGGGATTTTGAGCCTCGTCTGCTCTGGGTTTTAGAAATAACTCCGGGGGAGGAAGGAACAAGGACATGGCCTGGGAGGCTGTCCCAAGGCGTGACCTGATCTTTGAGGTCCTTTGTTGGGGGGCCCAGGGGTAGCTGGGAGGGGGCGCGGAGTGCAGCCGGAGAGGGCCAGGGCTCCCCTGGCAGGCAGGGACAGAAGCCCACAACCCTGCCACCACCAGATTGGCCACTCGATTTAAATCTCATCGGCTAAGAGTTTCCAGGAAGGTTTCTTTGGGGCGCAGGTGGAGTTCTGCTAATAGATCCCTGTGTCATCCTGAGCATCTGAAGTACTGGTCGGGGCCAGCAGGAGCGGGGCTGTGGCTGGGGACCCTGGAGGGGGGGGATGGACACGAGGGGATGCCCTCCAGCGTCCTGGGAGGGACAAGGGGACACTGGCAGCGCTGGAGTCCGTGGTCGGAGCCCAGGGGTGTGAGCAGGGTCGCAGGCGACGTGAGACAAGGATGCCTCTCTGTGGAACAGCT